TACACCACTCTTTCAAAAATCTTAGAAAAACTTATTAGCAATGATATCGGTCTATAGTTTGCCATAATTGCCTTCTCATCTGTTTTATATATAGGTCTTAATGAGGCAAATTTCATTCTATCAGGATATATTCCATGCTCACAAGATGCATTAAATACGTGACACAATGGTTTACTTATCTCAGTTATACAGTATTTCAATATCTTACTAGAAATGCCATCATATCCTGTAGAATCTTTTGATTTTTGCAACATAAGTATGCTCTTTATTTCCACCTCCGTTGTAGGTATTAGCTTCAGTTCAGGGAATTTATCAAATTTCAAAGTGTCTAAGAATTTAATGGCTTCATTTTTATTGGCACTTTTCGTTTCCAGATTCTCAGCTACAGTTATAAAATATTTATTGAATACTTCTACTACTTCCTTAGTATTAGTTACTTTGCTATTCCCCACTTTCAATTCGGTTATATTATCTGGGCCCCTCCTTTTCCCAGTTTCTTTATTAATAATCTTCCAGGTTAACTGTATTTTGTTTTCCGAGTTACTTATAAGTTTTTGATAGTACAGTTTCTTAGCTTCTTTTATTACTTTCGTTAATGTCATACAGTACCTTTTATAGTATGATTCCAATCTTTCATCCTTTGATTTTTTAACTAAGTTGTATAAAGCTCTTTTATGATTGCAAGACGTTCGTATACCTTTGGTTATTCATTTATTGGTGTCTTTCCTTTTTTTGTACACCAGGGGAAAGCTGTTTTCTAAAACTGTTAAGAAGGTATTATTAAATTTATTAAATTTCATATTAATGTTCTCTTGATTATAAACTGCTTCCCAATTTTCATTTTGTAATGCCCGTTGGAAATCTGCTATGCACTCATCATTGATATCCCTAAATGCTCTTACACAGTCCCTTTTCTTTATCACCTGTAAATTTTCAAGTACTAATATTTGTCCACCATGGTCTGAAAACCCATTTATTGCGGAATGGGTTTGAAATTTATTGAAGACATTCTTACCTAAGAAGAAATGATCTATAAGTGTGACAGAAGTGGGACCTATTCTGGTCGGACAGTCAATTATTTGAGCTAGATTATAAGTAACTAAGAAGGATTGTAACTGTATTTTTTATGGTTTTCATTAAGGTAATTTATATTTGTATCGCCACAAATAATCAGTTCCAATTTAAGGCTTACTAAATATGAAAGTGTAGCATCCAGCTGCTCAATAAATTGGCTGATGTCCCCATTTGGTATTCTGTAGACATAAAATACATAATTTCTTATTATTTACAATTATCTTCACCGCACAGGCTTCGAAAACCTTCTCCCTACTTAACTTATTGAGATCTAGCTTTTGATATGTTATATTATTCTTAACTAATATACAAACTCCTCCATTCTTAGACATATTATGTGAAAAACCTGTTGCCATTTTATATTTTGTCATGAAGAACATGGATAGTTCGTCTGCACTCAAATGATGCTCACTAATACATAAAATATCAGGATTGTTATATACATCATTTAAAAAAATAGCTAATTCTTCTTTTTTATTTCTAATACTTCTTATATTTTGATGATATATGACTAGAGAATTCTGCTGACTGCAGGGATAGAAGGATCGGGTCTTGAGGCGTACAGCGGTGTCGTGTGTTAAACGATTATATCAGTTCTATTATTAGAGTCATCATTATATTATCTTAGTATATTATTATAATATTATATTATATTGTACTTATTTATTATTGTAAAGTATTTGACTTGTCCTATATCATGTATAATGATCCATGGACATGAAGTAAATAAATAAATAAGCAATGGTAACGTAGCAAGCTCGGGTTTTAGTGAATGATTACATGTTCATCCTTGAACCCTTTCCTTCTTCCATAAAATCAAATTGAACCTAACCACATTTAATGCGCTAACACACGTGAGCTATAGCAATCATAAAATTGATGGCGAGAAAATTGTCAGTGGTCTCAGACTGTCTAAAAAAAATGCTTTACACTGAGTTTTAATCCGTTATATAACTCCTCTGTATTATGTACTTTACAAGGCACAGCAACATTCTGAAATGTGAATATAATCAGGCTTGAACAAAATCTACCTCAAACTTCTTCCAAATGTCCACTAACGCATGTTCATCACGTCGCCTGAGTTCACTTCACTCACGGGGTGTTCTCCTAATTTGACGACGTATTTGTATTACTTAGTTGCTTTTACATGATTTTTTTTATTCCCTTGGAACTCCCTTACCTCATAAATCACGAATTAGTTAAAATATTCAAAACAAGGCAATTACCTGGTCGTTACATACATATGCCAGTTCACATGATGCAGATCGTTCAGATCGTTCAGATGGTCGGGATCGGTCGGGATAGCAGCGTTGAGATTAATTCCACATTCTACCACTAGAGGGGAGGAAAAACAAAAGAATAATAGTTACGATAGTTATAGTTAGATTCTTAGTATAGATTTTGCGACATATTGTTTCTTTGATCTTCAGAAAAAGTTCTGAATTTTACATGTATACATAAGTTTGTAAAGCTTATGCATAAATAAAAATGAATGTAGTAAACATTGCTTTAATTTTTATCGAAGCCATTTTTTTTGTCATGCACAAAAATGGCTTCAAGATGTAAATTTCTTAAATCGAGTCTATTAGCAGATGGGAAGTAAAATAAAAAATAAACGTCAAGGAGTACATCGTCTGGATTGGTTTGGATGGTCTGGATCCTTAATAACTCGCTCATGAAGCTGAGCCTTTCTCCAGAAGCTGCCAATTGTGCAACTACTCACAAATTTCCCAGTATTTTATGGAACCTGATGGGTCATTGCGGTGTTCACAAGAGCCCTCCAGCGGTCCCTATCCTGATCCAGATCAATCCAATCCTGTCTCAGAACCATTTTAATATTGTTCACCCACCTACGCCTTGGCCTTCCAAGTGGTCTCCTTCCTTCCAGTTTTCCCACCAATACCTATATGCATTTCTCCTCTCCCCCAATCCTGCTACATGGCTCATCCATCTCATCCTCCTTGACTTGATCATTCTAATTATACTTGGAGAAGCTTACAAATCATGGAGCTCCTCATTTCCACCTAAATTCCTGTCTAAATTCTCCAATGAAGCAAACATATTATAGATTTCAACGCGATTCTGCTTTTTACCCTCTACCTCGTTTAATTTATTGAGATTGAACTTTTTCATATGAACTCTGTGCGTTGTTTGTTTGCTCACTGGCAGTCTATCCCTAAGCTTTGCCACCACCAGTTAGCGGTCAGCACCACAATCTCCTGCCCTGCATCATCAGACATCAGTTGCGCTTAAAGGCTGTCTCCTATCTATCAAAATATTGTCGATTTGATGCTGTCTTCCCATCAGGAGATGTCCAAGTAAATTTATGGATGTTACGATGTGGGAACATTTCACTTTCGACATCTTAAATCAGTATGCTATTTTCAAAATTCTGAGGATAACTTAAGTATATAAATGCAGTGTTACATTCATTTACTTCTTAGCATTTGTCGGGTTTAAATTTTTATATTTGTAAAACCTGTATTTATGATGTTTGATCACCTAATTACAAATAGGATTAATCTGATATAAGTTTACTTAGCTGTGTAGTGATTGAAGGAAACCATACTGAGAACAGCAATGGGTGCTTCCCTTTTTGAAGGAAAAAGTCAAGCAAAACCAGATTAAATTTTGGGAATAACAGCCAACACTGAAATTAGAAATTTATATCAGCCTGATTACAATCTATAACATCTTCTATATAAACAAATCAAAGTCTTGAGTGCATTTAATCATTCTACAGATCTGTCACAGGGCTAAAATTTTCATGTCATAGTGCTTCAACTAATTAAGCAGATGGATAGCTTTAGCTCCTTTACCTTTCAGTTTCATAATATGAAGATTGAATTGCCCCAGTTAAAGATTTTTGTTTGGTATTAAAATCAGGTCTGCACCAAGGGAACATTAAATAGGGATTTAATTGTAAATTATTGCACTTGATTTGCATCCTGTAACTATATTTTATATATATTTATATTTTAGAATTATTGTCTTAAAGATTCATTTCGGATACTGTTTAAAAGACCATCTTGATATGGGAGTGTGCTTAAAATTCCTTTCTTTTTAAGTAAACTGAGTGAGTTGGTGAGATTGCATCTGCTAGTTCTATGGTTGTAGGTGGCCAATGTTTAGAGGCTCCCATCCCGCTGGGGAGGGAGGGGGTGTCCTCCATAGCTCAATATTAAGGCAAGTTTTCAAAATCTTTGATTTTCAGCAGGTTCTTGTTCTTGTCATGAATGCAGAGGACCCTCTTTGTATTATTCAATTTTTATGAATAGCTCCATGGTCTTTTGACAGGCTGTAGTTATAAATATGTAAGTAGCAGCAGAAATAAGATGTGTCATAAAGCAAAATGTGTTCCCACCTACAGTAAATGGAGCTTCGTGTAACAGTTTTGATTCCCAGGTTTTAATTCAGTATTTATTTTTTAGGGTGAGCCATCTGATGTTTATTTTACCTTCTCACTAACATATGCCATGGCATGAGAGGCAAGGCCTCCATCTCAGTTCAGCCCCATGGGAGAGCCATCTTCATACCAGAAGTCAGTTTCTTTTCTGCGGTCTGCAATTCTGCATTGTCCAGGAAGTAATCTTAACCAGTCAAGGACACTGCTAGAGGTTTTTGACTGGTTGGCCTCCTGCTATGAGGACAAGTTAATCTTACTCCTAATATTTCATTTTTGCTTCATAGTATTCAATGAAGCCTATTTTAACATTGCATACACCACCCATCTCAGGAGTACTCAATTTGTTTCAGTATAGATATTAACAGCGTACCAGCACAATACCCAACTTGCATATCCAGTGTACCCCTCCTTGTCTGCTATCTACCTCTGTGCCTGTCTAGTGAGGGATGCTGCACCACTAGCTATGCTACTGAATGTTTTCAGTGGCTACAGACACCCTCACCATGATACAGAGGAAATATTATCAAGAGAGTTTCTAATACTTCTGACATTGAAACAAGTGTGTGGAGAGTGCCATTCAAATAGGCGGAGTTATGTAGGATCAGGCTGGATCAGCTGTTGCTGCTGTGGTAGAAGGGAACAGTGTATACAAGCAGTGTAAGTGAATGCATCTGAACAAAGGCAGTGAGATTCTGATTCCAGTAGTACAGAGGGTTATCCACATTGCACTTCCATTCCTAGGCTGACACAGAGAAAGTGGAAGATGGAAGTGAGGGTAAATCTGCAATGGGTCTTGAAAAACAGGCTGTACTGAAGTTAATTCTTGCACAAAGCAGGATCAGCTCTTCACATCAATTAATCTCATGAATAGAAGGTTATTTTGTTTCAGTAGACTCAATATACAGACATTTTCTGTTTGTGGTCCCAGTGGTGTTGCTGGCATGCACGGAATATGTCCAATTCAATGGGATTGTGGGAGGAATCTATGGGCGGTCCAGTGCTACATCAAAAATTGAGCTCAGGTAAAAATCTGTTATTGTCTGTATTGTTTATAAAGCTTTAATTTGATTGTCCCAAACTGAAAACTCTGTGGACTCATTATAATTAACCTAGTAATTTACACATGCTCGTAGATATTCAATATTTGTGATCCCCAAAAATCTGTGGCAATGCTCAATTTTTGATACCAGTCCTGTGCTGGGCATTGTCAAATAAGTGAGGTGTATTAGCTTTACAGAGCGTTTCTAGAGTTGGTGCCTCACCCACCTTCAGGTAATTGGTTGTCACACTTACACACTTTGATTGCCAGTTATAAAGATGCTGGGAGTGAAACTAATTATGATTTATTTTTTTTCTGGATCTTGTGATAGCTGGATAAGGGTTGATATATAAGGTTACTAATATTAATTTCAATTTTTTACAGGCATGAATTTGATGAGTATTTGGTGCCAGTTGTCTGTGAATATCAGAAACCTCTTCATGCCGTTGCATCTGCACTCAAGACGTACTTCCTTGAACTTCCAAACCCTCTGTGCACATACCAGCTCTACCATGCCTTTGTTGATGCCTTTCAGTGCAGTCCCAAAGTGGGTTGCAGACTTTTCCACATGCAGCTTGCTGTGTAGAAACTGCCACTTCCCGACTAGAGGTATTTTTGAAGGTGACATGATAACTTTATACTCACTGGTACATTTTATGCTTATTAATGAATAAGAATTTGTGTCACCATGAACAAGTAATTCACATAGCTCATCTCTGTTTATTGTATTGTACCCATTATAAGAAACCCTTTGTTATGAATATTTTAGGAAACTGGTTGTCAGCAATTCAACTGATTGCCATCAGTTCAATTTAACAGTGTTGCAAACCATAATATTGGGGCATGTCGTATTTCCTCTTTGAATTCTTGTCAAGCAACTTCCTTATCTGGCTATGCTATACTTTTTGGTTGCGACTTCAGCAAGAGTTAGGTGAATTTACAAGACATGGAAATTTAAAGCAGAGGACATGTTTCTAAAATGTTGTGGTGCAATGATCAATTTATGAGATTTTATGGGAAATTTATTGTGATTATTAGAATATACCATATTTTAGAAAGTGTATGCAATAAAATGATTTGTGTGGGGATTGTACTGCATTGTTTTTCCAGAACCCTGGGGGCCCCTACTGCTGCATTTGGCTCATGTAGCTAAACAGTCTCATACCACAGGCATTATCTCTNCTTTTGATATGTTATATTATTCTTAACTAATATACAAACTCCTCCATTCTTAGACATATTATGTGAAAAACCTGTTGCCATTTTATATTTTGTCATGAAGAACATGGATAGTTCGTCTGCACTCAAATGATGCTCACTAATACATAAAATATCAGGATTGTTATATACATCATTTAAAAAAATAGCTAATTCTTCTTTTTTATTTCTAATACTTCTTATATTTTGATGATATATGACTAGAGAATTCTGCTGACTGCAGGGATAGAAGGATCGGGTCTTGAGGCGTACAGCGGTGTCGTGTGTTAAACGATTATATCAGTTCTATTATTAGAGTCATCATTATATTATCTTAGTATATTATTATAATATTATATTATATTGTACTTATTTATTATTGTAAAGTATTTGATTTGTCCTATATCATGTATAATGATCCATGGACATGAAGTAAATAAATAAATAAGCAATGGTAACGTAGCAAGCTCGGGTTTTAGTGAATGATTACATGTTCATCCTTGAACCCTTTCCTTCTTCCATAAAATCAAATTGAACCTAACCACATTTAATGCGCTAACACACGTGAGCTATAGCAATCATAAAATTGATGGCGAGAAAATTGTCAGTGGTCTCAGACTGTCTAAAAAAAATGCTTTACACTGAGTTTTAATCCGTTATATAACTCCTCTGTA